ACAAACATAGCCACAGGGGTGTGTGTTCATATACAGCAACCTTCCACTGTCCGCTCCACCCCTCATATTGAATAGGTATCCTGGCCACCGGGAGGGCAATCCCTTCGGCATCCTGCAGGCGCCGCACCCGTCTTTCTTCACCCGGGATGAGATACTTAGGATCCATAAGAGAGTGGAGGATGGTGGTCAACAGGGAGCTGGTGTCTCGCCAGGCTGCAACACCACGCCCGTCCACAGTGACTTCCTTACAGCGGCGCGAAGGAATACATTCTGCGTTGAACTCAGGAGGAGTGGGGTGGGGGCCCACTGGAATCTTATGGTATGAGCTGGTACTTGCCTTAGGGCACTGCCTTTCAATGTGTCCCAACTCATTGCAGGCATAACATCGGGGTGCCTTCCGATCTCCCACTGGCAACTGCATACCAGCGCTTGGCGAATCAGGACGCTGTTCCTGGGATGGCGGTCCTTTTACTTCCGGCTGCTTTCTGGGCTGGGGTGGGGACTTAGGAAACTCCCTCTTATGCCAGTCCCAATTAGTGCGGCACCTCTGCCCTCCATAGGCTTCAGCCAGTCGCTCCGCCCATTGTCCTGCTTCTTGAACGGTAGAAGGGCTCTTGTCCACCAGATTGAGGAGAGGAGAGAGGAGGTCCTACGACTGATAGACAACTTAAAAACTGATAAATCACCAGGCCCGGGTGGCATACACCCGAGAGTTCTGAAGGAACTCAAATGTGAACTTGTGGATCTCCTGACAAAAATATGTAATCTTTCCTTAAAATCTGCCTCCATTCCTGAGGACTGCAAGGTAGCTAATGTCACTCCCATCTTTAAAAAGGGCTCCAGAGGAGATCCAGGAAATTACAGGCCAGTCAGTCTGACGTCTGTTTATTTTTACAGGAGGTCAGTCCAATATGGGAAACAAACAAGGTGCAAGAACAATAGCGATAAGTGGGTGAAGGGGAAAGAAACCTGCTCCACCCTCCTGGTGGGCCTCCCCCAGGGTGTCTTTTGGAGATGCCTCTCTGGATTGGGAGGGGACATCATTTTGCAGGGGTCCCACCCACCCCCCTCCTGGGGGGGAGATTGTTTTGCCATCCTGCCAGGATCTTCCATCGCAGCTCCTCCCAGAGAGTTCAGCTTCGTCTCCCGCGGTTCATAACATCAACATGGAGACATTGGGGAAGATTGTCCAGGAAGGTGGCGTGTGAGGCCGTCAATCTGCTGACGACACCCCACAGTGTTTCTCCATTTTATCAGATCTGGATGTGGCAGTCAGAAACAGGCTGGGAGAAGTGGCAGCTCAGCCCAAACAAGAGGCTGAGGGTGGTGGGGGAACGCCGCGAACTGAGGAGTTAGGAAACACCTGCGTGGGTGGGGGACATCACCCTCCCCTCTCTGAAACGCGTCCGTCACTTGGGGCTTTTCCTGGGCCCGGAATTGCTGCTCTGTCTTCAAATGAGGAGCTGCAGTGGCTCAAGGGGTTAAGATGCTGAACTGCAGGCTGTGGAAGGTCGGTAGTTCAGCAGTTCGGGACCCGAGTGTGCCGCATGACGGAGTGAGCTCCCGTCTCTAGTTCCAGCTCCTGCCAACCTAGCAGCTCGAAAGCAAGAAAGTGCAAGTAGATAAATAGGGACCACTTCGGTGGGAAGGTAACAGCGTTCCGTGCGCCTTGGTGTTTAGTCATGCCGGCCACATGACCACAGAAACGTCTTCGGACAGCGCTGGATCTTCGGCTTTGAAACGGAGATGAGCACCGCAACCCTAGAGTCGGATTCGACTGGCTTTCGAGCAAGGGAACCTTTAGCTTTACCTTCAAATGCTGCCTGGGTTCTGGAGTACCTTTTGTGAAGTGGGGCCGATCCACATGCTGTGCACATTGCTGGAAGATATCATTTAATATTGTTATTGTTTATTAAAGTTTCATACTGCTCTCCCTGCAGAGCGGGCTCAGAGCGGCGTACAGCATTTTACCTAGAAATAATCCATTGGTCTAAATGTACCGATAAAATACAAATCTTAAAACAACAAATAGTGTATGCAGAAGCATAAAACCTATATGGGGTCACATGATGCAGTTTTAACCCCCGATGGCGGGGGGGGGAGGCAGCTAACACGGAGGCCCCTGGGTCTTATCACTCATGCCCAGGGCGGGGGCCTTCACATGGGAACCCTGGACTGTGCTCTGCACGGGGCTGGCTCTGAAAATGCTTTGCAGATGAAACTGTGCAGGATGCTGCCCCCCTCTGCTTAGCAGGAGTCAGCCAGTGAGATGGGACCACACCAGCTGTGAAACATCAGCACCGGGTGCCAGGCAATGCTCCTTCTAAGCTGCGGAGCCTTGTGAGCAAAAATTCTACTTCGTGAGCTCCTGGCATTAAAGTGGTGAGCGAGCGATTTGGCTGCTGCATCAGTTAGCTTGCTCTGGAGCCACATCCTTCCTGAGTGAAGACAAAAGTGTGTGAGCCGGAGGCTAAAAAACTGTGAGCCGGCTCACACTAACTCAGCTTAGAGGGAACACTGATGCCAGGTGTATTCTGAGCCCCATTTCAGGGACTGCTTTGGACATCAAAAGCCCTACATGCCCTGGGCCCCGCCTCTCTCAGGTGAGGCCTCCTCCCCAAGGAGGAAAGGTGTGATTTGCTGCTTTTTCCGAGCCATTCATCTCCTCCCTTTCTCAACCACGGATAAACACACATACACATGAAAGATTTCAGCTTGTGACAACACAAGACTGATTGGCCACCTGGATGCCAGTTGGGGTGAAGACACAACTGATGGCACGTCAACCAGTGGTTACCTGTTCTTCTGTGGAGACAGCATGATTGACTGGACTAGTCAAAAACAAACAACCGTTGCCCCATCTACTGCGGAGGCAGAACGTGTGTCTGCCGCAAGTCCCTGCAGTGAACGGGAATGGATCATTCATCTGCTGGAGGACTTTGGCATAGATGGATGCAAGCCAATAATTCTGTTTGAAAACAATCGGGCTTGCATAACCACATGCAGAGGTGAAAGCACCAAATCAAAAAGCAAATCCTTTGCCATCAAATGTCATTGAGTGACAGATATACAATGACGAGGACTGACTGAAGTTGAGTATTGTCTTAATGAGGAGATGACTACGGAGTGACTCACCAAGCCACTCGACAAAAGGAAGTTCAAGTATCTATGCGATAAGTTGAATCTGCATGACTTCAGTGTTGGAACTTGAGAAGGGGTTTGTAATACCAGCAAGTTGCCAACGTTTCAGTCATGATAGGGTTAAATTGATGTTGCATGTAAACAGGATGTTACCCAGCTTAGCTGTAACCAATCAGAAGTAGAGATACGTTTGCTTGGAAAAATGTTGATATTGATTAGTAAAATGAAGTGATCTGTAACCTCTCTATTGGCTAATCAATGTAGAAGAAGAAGAAGAAGAGAAGAAGAAGAAGAAGAAGAAGAAGAAAAAGAAGAGATGTGATTTATACCCCGCCCTTCACTACCCAAAGGCGTCTCAGAGCGGCTTACAAACTCCTTTCCCTTCCCCTCCCCACGACAGACACCCAGTGAGGTCGGTGGCGCTGAGAGAGCTCTGGCAGAAACGGCTCTTTTTCAAGAACAGCTCTTATCAGAACTACGTCTTGCCCAAGGTCATCCAGCAGGTGCAAGTGGAGGAGTGGGGAATCAAACCCGGTTCTCCCAGATTAGAGTCCGTGCACTTAACCACGACACCAAACCACTATCCCTTCACAGGGTTTTCAAGGGAAGAGACATTCAGAGGTGGTCCTTCTTGGTGGTCTCCCGTTCAAGTGCTCTCCAGGGCTGACTCAGCTCAGCTTCCAAAATGTGATGAGATTGGGCTTTCCTGGCCCTTCCAGATCAAAGCAAGGGACAAACAGAGGTGGTTTGCTGTCGCCTGCCTCTGTGTAGCGCCCCTGGGCTTCCTTGGAGGTCTCCCACCTAAGTACCAACCTAGGCAAGCTCTGTTTAGCTTCTGAGATCTTACAAGGTCAGGCTAGCCTGGGTTCAAGTGTGTTTTACTGTTGCTTTGTTCCTACATCCTTTGTAATTTAACTGGGATCATTTCAGGTGGTAAATATAGTAGAAGAACTTAAGAAGAAGAAGTCCACCTGTGTTGGGTGGAGTTTCGAGTCTGGCCACCTCTAGTTTGGTCTGGGTGCCCAACTCCTTCCTCAGAAGCCTGGCTCTGGGTGGCTGGATGGGGAACTTCCTGTATCTCTGCAGCCCAGGCCTCAACCTCCTTCCTCCTTTCAGTGACAGGCTAATTATATGAGCATTAACGGATTTCCAGGGAGGCCTTCCTCCTTCCTGCCCAGTCACTCCTGGGGCGAGAAGGGGACCTCCTCCTCCTTAATAATGGCCTGGCCATGACTTGGACCTTCCTGGGTCTTCTGGAACCAGCCCCTTGTTTGCATACTCCCATCTGGTTGGCTGCTGGCCAGACTCCTCTTGGGGGGGGGGGACAGCCTTCTCACACAGACAGCGGTGTCCCAGAGCCCCTCACGGTGCCATCCTGAGCATGGTCACACCCTGCTAAGCCCACTGACAGTGATGGATGCAAAAGGGTGTGGCTCTGCTTAGGAGGGCCCCGTGAGCGCCCGCAGCCTCGAACAGCCATTCCGGAACACGGAACAATGGCCGGCCTCGCCCCATCAGGCCTCCGGGCCTGGTGCAACTGCCAGGTTTCTCCGAGGAGGAGGAGGAGGAGGTGGCGGGCAACCAGGGGCAAATGCCGGGGGCCTCTGGAGCTCCCCCTGAACAGCTTCTTCCAACATCTCTGCAAAAGCCCCATCTTGGCCGGGCACCTCCTGGATCAGCAGACTGGCTTCTGGACTGCGATTCAGGGACCCCCAATGCCCAAGAGCACTGTGGGTCTAATTAAGGTGCGCCTGCTCTAGTGACTGATGACGACTGTTTCCATGACCTTTCCACCTGTCTGTGTATCAGGCGCATCAGATCTTCTTGGATGCTAAGCAGGGTTGGTGCTCGGATGAGAGACTGCCAAGGAACTTCAGGGTTTATTTATTTATTTATTTATTTATACTTTCGATTTCTATACCGCTCCAAACCCCGAAGGGTCTCTGAGCAGTTTACACAGTTCCGAGTTATCCCTAACTAAGGCCACATGTTTACAGGGGTCGGGGCTACTTACCGGCACCCAGGTGGCAGGGCTCGCTGTTCTCGGCTTGTTCCCGGGCGGTCTTTTTCGGGCGTCAGTGTGCCGATGTTCCTGGCGTCTCCGGTGTCTGGCGAGGTCTTTTTGGTCCAGGGGCTTTCTTTCTACGCGGGCTCCTCTAGTGCGTGGTACGTGTCGAC